CCTAAAAAGCTCATAACGTAACAAACCATTTCAAATATCAATCTAGGTAAGATACACAGTAACCTTCAGCTTCCTTCACTTTTAAGAATAATGACTAATTTAAGAAAAAAAATCATTTTTCACTTTAATTATATTTATTAAAATATGTGAGTTTAACGATTTACCAACAAAATTTTACATTTCTTGGATAATTTTTAATACTTACGACTTTAAAATTTTAGTCTCTCCCGTAATTCGTAGAAATGAATTTTTGGTGGTCACATCACTTGGCCTCTCCACCATCGAATTATAATATAATAAACTTATACATACATACACGATCATATACATATATGTATTCTGTTTAAGAGCCTCCGATAAAATACATACAGCGCCGGGCAAAATTACAACTATCACAATTGCAGCTCATAAAATTATAAAACTCAATATCTCGTTAATTTTTAGTATGCATACAAGTTATTTTTAAGTAAAATTAATATTTGTACATTCATGTATAATTCAATAGACATGCATACGCTATATACGTTAGACGTTGTATCTATACGACGTCAAGATTATTAAAATAAATTAACCTTATATGTCAAATTTGATGTTATTGAGTTTTAAATTGAAAAATTGTATTGTATATTAAAAATAATAATAATGCATAAATTGACATTTGAAGGTGAGAATACCTCAATGTATAGTAAGAGGTAAATTATTTAATTATAGCCGGTAAAGGCTATACTACTTTGCAGGAATATCGTATACCCATGTAAATCTGTGGTTTAGTGCACATAATAATATAGACCCCTGCATAATTGGCGGAAAGAACTGATAAAGTCTCAAGTTTTATTATGTTCATTGTGTTCGTTTTGGTTCATCTTATCTTTATACATATAATTCTGTTGTACCTACGTGTGTTGTGACTGAACTTCTCCTAAACCGTTGGACCGATTTGAATCAATTTTTTCGTATGCGTTTGGGTGACGCCCCGGATGGTTTAGATTCACAAATCATCCCCCTAGGTCCAACCAGGGTATGTGCTCAGACGGGGATTCAGAGATTAACGGTGGAAATTTTTGTTTATAAATGGTTGCCATGGGTTTTAAGGCTATTATAATAATAATAGTAATTATAATATTTTTTGTAATAAATAGCAACCATTTAATAAACAAAAAACAAAATAAAATAAATGTATTATAATTACACAATCACGCATTTTCTACGTACGACTTTGTTTTATTGTGCCGATATTCTCGCATTAACAATACCATGCCACGACCAAGACACGATCAAATACTTCACGACAAAGCCGTCAATCGTAATGCAACTAGGATTCGAAACATTGCGAATGAAAGGACTGATATTTATAAATAAATGTTTGTGTGTAGATTGACCTCTGGGAAGAAGATAGGCTAATTTAAAAAGGGTTAAATTTGTTTTTTTTTTTATTCTTCGGATTTTAGTACGGTTAGGTTAGGTTAGGATTTTGTATTAATTGATTATATTAATCTACAAGTCATAGGTAAGTGGAATTAAGTAAAAACGACAAACTTGGTATAGCTTTGATACTTTAGAGTTAAATCATACATTTACGTACAAACAGCCCGCGAATTGCCTACCTGAAAATATGCTGCTGCGAATAAAAATTTTTATTCAGGGCAACAGAAAAGTTAAGATAAATCTAGAACATCATGCACCGAATATTAAATAAGGCATTGAACAAAGTTTGAGTCGTATACAGTTTGTACATTCGTTACGGGTAACGAAGTGCACGGGATCAGCTAGTATGTATTATATAATAATAAAATTAGGAAATTACATTCATATAACATTCTAGTGTATAACATTTCTTTATACATTTTTGAGTTCTCTGAGGTAACTTAATAATATTTGCCCATTCTACTGACCATGTAGCCTGTAAATAAGGACTATAGGAGACATAGTATATATTATCATCGGTTAAGAGCTAGGAATGGCTTACATAGATTTTAAATTATTTAAATTCAATACTTCATATCGATATATTATTGATTGAAAATGATCTTAAGCATTCAAATCGATTTTTGGGACAGCGATAAAAACAATACTGATTGAGGTAATGTGAACTTATAAGTTATAAGTACTATATAGTATTATAAGATTTATCTATGTTATATCTGTCTACTTAAACTATACACAATGTCAACAAGTGGGTGTTAAAGGGACGAAATCCTCTCAAGTAGTTTCTTCTTTCATAGAAAAGATTGAAATTTTTGTACTGACTTTAAATAACGGAAAAAATCCAGTACCTGCATTTCAAAATACTCAACAATTTATTTATGATGTACAGACGTTTCTGACGTTTACGGTTCATTACAAAATAGAGTTTTTAAGATCGGAGTCAAATGAAACCTGAGTAAAGTCTCAACCTCAACCTTCATCTTTAAAAAAAATTATTAAATTTGAACATTTTTTCCGTGAATTGCGTTTTTGTGCTAAAAACACGCAGACTCTTAATGTAAAAACAATAGTAAACAGAAAATATTGTGTATTGCATTGCGGTATTATGAGAATGTCAGCGCACTATTTGTTTTCACTCTACTCGCCACATAGACAAAACGCATATACACAGAATCATTTTTTTCTATGTTTTTAAGTAATCTTAGAGTAAAATCACCCCTTACAAAAAAATAGAGAATAATGTTTTTGAGGGAATGGTATATCGATTTTATATTTTACTGTTATTTGACTTTGAATTGGACTTTCAAAATAAACATAAAAATGTTGTAAATTTAAATTGTGTTTAAATTGCTTTGAGAGACGATATTTAGACAAATCGATATGTCATTGCCTCAAAAATATTATTTTCTATTTTTTTGGTAATGGGTGATTTTACTCTAAGATTACTTAAAAACATAGAAAAAAAAACGATTCTTCGTATATACGTTTTGGCTATGTTGCGAGTAGGCCAGAGAGAGAAAACAAATGGTGCGTTGACATCCTCTCATTGCATAATGCACATTATTATGAGTACCTACCGATAGTCAATGCATCGAGATTAATCTCTTCTATATAAATATAACGTATTATAATTATTATACAGCTGCAGCCGGTGCCTATTATAGGAGCATGTTATATTATTATTATCATAAAGTTGGTTCCTCAAATAATATAATAAATAATAATAATAATAATAATAATTTATACAGCCGCAGCCGCCCGTGGAGAAATGCGGTCCGTATCGGAATTCGGCAGAGTCATGTTTTGCGGAAACAATAAAATATATAATAATAACAACACATTATGTTATTATATTACATTATTATTGCACACACGCGACTGTGCCCAAAAAACGCCCAAACTCATTACCGCGGACGGGCCGAGACCGCGGTAGGTAGGTATACACATTTTCTGCGGTTGTCTCGAGCGGCAGTAAAAAGTCAAACGCAATTAGAAGATTTTTTTTTATACACACACACACACACACACACACACACACACACACACACACACTGTAATATTCCGCCTTGGCGTCGTCGCGTATTATATTATGTTATTATGCGAATCTCGTATAATGTACACGTCTGCTGGTTGGCGTGAATGACGTACACGCGAACTCGTACATGGGTATTATAAGAAAATTGTACATTGTCTTTGGATTTTTACGCGTACCCGTAATAATTAGTTGGACGGATCTATAGAAAATAATAGATCATATTATTATTATTATTATTATTATTATAATATAGGTAACTATACGAACAGACTTTAGATTTATTTTTTAGTCTGAATCGCGCGTGTGTGTATTATTATATGCCTACCACAATATTATACCATCATAATATTGTATAAACATTCAAACACTACAGTAATTTATTTAAACCGATCAAATATCGATTATTCATACGACGATGAGCACTACGACACTATACACAACTAAAACAAAAAAAATAATATATTGGTAGTATAAAAAGGAGAGTTCTGCAACCGCATCCCGACACCCGCACCCCGCACCCCTCATACCCTTATGACCACCACCGGCACATCGCTTACGTGCGTGACAGTCAAACTAAAAATATAACCGTTTTTCATGTTATTTTGTTTCGGTGAAATAAAATAACAAAATAAAAACGTTCCAATATTGGACATAAAATATCTATAGGTTTTATATAAAAAAATATTTAATAATTATACAGAGTGATTCACCAAGCATACTCAGTTCTAGCCCTCATTTTTCATTTCATAATGAATCTATTCAATTCTACAATAGCGTTTTGGCATTTATTAATATTACATAAAATTGAAACTAATATTGAACTATTTAACAGAGACATTAATTTTTTTAATCATTACTATTTACAGTACTTAACTACTAATCATGCTAATTCATTTTCATATAAACTTATAATCATCCTATATACAACAATATTATAGTTTTAAAATTTTTTTATTTTATTTATGAACGGGCTAGGAGCCCAACAGTACAGTCATACAATATTTTTTAGTAATACATTTGAAAAATATGTCAACATGATAATTATAAGTTATCGAACGACAAACAATACAATGGATCAAATAAACAATTAATGACAAATATATAAAAAAACAAAAAACTTTGTATACAGTGTATGTACCATATATACACCGTATACAAAGCAACAAGAGCCACAAGAGCCACTTATTGGTACTACACACATCCGCAGCACAATGCACGCCTGACATTTTTCTTGATGCGAGACCAAAACGAACGGCACCTAGGCTTTCCCGTTTTTCCGGTTATTACCTTAACCGTGTCCGGCTGGCCTGCATTGACGATTGGCATCGTCAGGAACTCAGCTTGTACCGTGTCATCACACGCTGCTCGGATGTAAATGCCAGGGACAGTCGGCACATCCACAGAGACTTCTCATGCGACTGGCATCGTCGGGGTCTCAGTTTGTACCGTGTAATCACACGCTGCTCGGATGTTCATTTCAGGGACAGTCGCCACATCCAACGAGACTTCGCATACGACTGGAGAATACGACACATGAACATTAGGCGTCGAAAAAAACTGCGTCGTAAGCAGTGGACCTCAAACGTTTCTTGGACTCAACTAGATTCCTGTCATCTAGTGAGGCCGTCGAATCAGAACGCCGTCTGCAGGGTTGGACCGTCTTCACGGCTATCGCAGCTGGGTCCAACGTAGCAACATGCTTATCTTGCAAGTTAGAACCATTGCAGGTTAGATTTATGGCCACGGAAGATGCAGATCTTACTTCGTTCACCAAAACATTACTTCTGAAAAAGCAGAACTTTTCTATTGGCCCAACAGCGTATTTGACTTCACGTCTCCTGGCTAAATGTAACTGGACAGCGTTGATTGAATACATAATTGAAGACATTATTATATCAATAATATGACAATAATTTAAAATTATTACTGGTTTAGCTAAGTATATGTAATATTTACAGACAATAATCAATTGGTTACAATAACGTCAATAACAAACATGAAACAATATTGACTAAGACTAATGAAAAATTCCACGGAAAATTAATTTGTATGTTAGGCATAGTACATTAAATAGATAAAATAATAATAATATTAATAATCGAATTGAACAAGTAAACAAAACTGTGCCAAATTATACTGTAGGTACATTTTAAGGCAAGTGATTTTTTAAAAAGTTTTTATGGGAAAAATGTATGCGAGCATGCTTATGTCCACACCATCGTCGTGTATACCTACATTACGTATTTTTATAATTAATATTATCACGGGGGTTTATTGTTTGATGCAAAACCTGTTTACACTTCATATTACACTCAGAATTTATACCTTACAGTTGAGATCATACACTAAGCATAAACTCAATTCCGCTATAATTTGAAGCACATATTAGCGACAAGTCTCTATAGTATAGGTACCAATAATCTATAAATACTCAAAAAGAAATTGTTATAAAAATAATGTATTATTTATCTATTTTAATTTATGATGTAAAATACTAAAATATAAATGTAAATCAATCAATGGCCAACGGCTAACTCATGGGCACATAGCGTTTCACACACATTATAATTCAGTAACTAGATTATATTTTGTGAGTAAAATGTATGTACATTAAGTCATTAAACCCTATCTTAATATTTAGAAATCAAAATATCGAAATATTCTATTAAAATTAATATAAAACAATCATGAACAAATTTGACGATATTATTACTGAAAACCAAAAGATTGCAAGAACTTACTTCTCCAGAGGTCGTCATAATTTAGTTGATGTATTCTATCTGGCTCAGAGTTATTCAAAAGTACCGAAACAGGTACCAAAGTACAAATATTTTGACTCATTTGAGCTGTTGACGGATATTTTCAATTTTTTCAATTTTTTTTTTCTATAAATGTCAATTAAATTTTTTTCGTTGGGTCAAAAAGTATGAAAATTTAATACAAAGCTTCTGATATATTTTTACAATAGCAGTTGAAAAAAAAATTGAAAGTACATCGCACAGTTTTTTGTTATAAGCATTTAAAGTTTGAAATTTAAAAGAAGGTTCCACGTAAATACGTAAATAAATTACTTTGTTCACAATAATATCATAAAAACTATAATATACTTACCTAGTTATATATCATAACATAGACTGACTGACCGTCTTCGCTCAGAATCGTTTTTCGTATAGTGTATACAATGATATATTATATTATTGAATTCAAATTTAACACTATCCATTATAGTGATCCACTTGTAACCTACTGTACAGCAGAGCAACTCCCACTTGCCCACCTTTTTGAAAATCGATTTTTTTCTAAACATCATATCTTGTTTGTTTTTAGGCCGTAGGGAGGATGTTGATTTCTTAGATTATATTAGAAATGTCTAGATAAAGATTTATATTCTTATATTTTTATCCATATTTAGGCCATAATACGCTGCTATATATAGCCTATAATATTATATAGTCTGCAGACAAATAATTTTGTTTCTGGTACACGTGTCTCTTTCCCCCTCTTTCACTCTCTCTATCTTTCAAAAACCGTTCAGTTGATATGCTAGTTATTATGTAATTGCTGTAAGTTATATATATGAATGTGACTATATGTATCTATTGTTGTCCCGCAATAGATTTTTACTTGAGATCTAATTTACATTTACCTATGCTATTTTTAAGCGTACTCAGCGATGAATGCCTATAACAGAACACAGAAATATAATAATATATACACCAGCTACATTTAGTTATTTACATTTGTATTATATGAATTATTTTACTTATGCAATATGTTCTCAGTCTTCCACATTCAAAACAAATGCTTTTTTTTCTTCAAAAAAATGAGAAATGACTATTATACCTAGTTACCTTCGTTTTCGATCAAAATATTACCATTTCAAAACTTGGAAAAATAAAAAAGACAGCAAAACAATGTATAGTTTCTTGTGGTGCACTCTCTAATCTCTATGTATACTGTACTGGAGTCGAATGCATGGTAAAATAAAAATTGACTTCTTTACTTGCAATTGTAATCTATGTATAGAAATAGAGAATGCACATAGACAATAGATTATAATATAGTCTATAATTTATCAGAGTTAATCGGTTCAAAATATGTCTTCAATAAATGTACGAATATAATATAGAAATAGTTATTTAAGTTTTAAACAAAAGATTTAACACTCGACTCTTTATCTAAGTAATGCAAAATATCAGGTCAACTGTTATACATTTCTAAACATTAATGATTAATCTACGTAATATATTAAATTAGGAAATACTAGCGCCGACAAAACCAGAAAAATGATTATATTCATCAATGAAGCTGAATCGGACAGTTCATATATTATAATGAAGACCAAATATTATAAAAAATTCAGATTTTAAAGTTATATAGCTAACAACTTAATTTAATAATTTAAAAATAAATATATTTTTGCGGACCACTATTTGGCGAAAACTTGGTATGAGCTATTGAGGTATACCAACTATACCTATTTGGTAAACATTTTTTATATGCCATAATAATATATAACATATAATATATATAAACATATTATCACTATTAATCACTTTATTTGTACAGGCAAAATGGCAGTGGCCGTCGTGCACTGAAATAACTTCAACGCACCGTATACATTTATGAACAATATAATATAATATTTATATCGATGATTGTAATCACAATAACGACGCATGTCATTACGTACAGATTATGAAATATGCTCGCGAACAAATACAAATTTTTTTTTCATTTTATATATATATACGCAGTACGCACAGACGAAAACCTTTAAAAGAAGCTTACAAAAAAAAAAACGTTCCATACCCATCGAAGGGCATAAGGCGTGTCGGTATACGAGATTGCTTTTTTTATTCATACACGTCTTATATATTTATTTTATTTATTTATTTGTTGTTCTTTTATTGTATAAATGATGAATTTTCTCGTAAGTACAATATATAGCTTTATTAGTTATTACCTAGGTATGGGATCGTTTCGTCATTGAAATTTCAAACCCGCGTGATCAACAAACATATGATATTGAAATCAGTAAAACGTTCGCGAATCTGTGTAAATATAAATAAAACATAACACCATACCATTTGTATTATACCTACACTAATATTCGAACGCAGTTCGTGGGGCAGGCAAGATATATTATGATGGAAAAAAGCAAAACGTGTGGGTTACAATATGAAAAGTTGCAGCACGTGTCGCTCGCAAGGTGGTTTACTATTATTATCTCACTGGTAATAATATATTATAGTATTACTATGATTATTATTTTTATTATTATTATTATTTTTATTATTATTATTATTATTATTATTATTATTATTATTATTATTATTATTATTATTGAATATGCAATGTTCAGCTGAAGGGTAGCGTCGTCAATCGTGGCGCCACGACCGCCTTGGGCGAAAAAAAAATTTGAAAAAAATAATTATAATAAAAATTTAAATTAAAATAATACACGTTTTCCACACTCTCAGACCAATAACATATATTCATTTCGATAGTTACAACAGCAGTACACGTCCATATCATTATTATATAAGGTTATCAAAACATTAACAAATGTTCATAAGTATGAACAACAAGCTTTAATACGTCATAATATTTAATATATAGTATCCCGAAATCAACAATTTTTTTTTAGAAATTGCAAACTTTTTTTTTTCTCACGTCATTCAATTTAATATATAATTATGCAAGCTTGTACAAAAAACTTCAATTTAACTGGCCATCATCTTTCTTATTCGTATTAGGTGCTATATTATATTATATTTTATACCAGCTACATATCTTTATTCTACACATAGTATAGTATGTGAATATGTGTGATGTAACGTGCAAGTTTTGTGTGTACCAATAACTCGAGTATATTATTAGAGTTAAGCGATAAATAATTTTTTTTTATTTTATCGCAATCGTATGTTTTAATTGCTTTTAATTCACACGAAAAAGAAAATAATATTCAAAATAAAGAAATTGCATCAGCGTCGTCGGGACATTAATGTATAATGCGCTCGTAAAGTCTGTATCCGTAATCCGTATATGGACTATAATATAGGTAATGTATTGTAAGAAGCTATCATATTTGTAACAGGATTTTGCGTATAGGTCATAGAAATATGTACCTTTAATCTCTAAGAGAAATATAAAACTGTAATATTTTTCTTTGTTTTTGATCTTGTATAATATGGCTATAATATAATCTGCAATGTCTCAAATTGAATTGCGTTTATTATTTTGATACTTACCCACCTATTTTAATAAGTTATTAACCAAATAGGTACATATTTTCCCTGGCACCCGTCTTTTGAATTTTGAAACCAAACCCAAGGCTCTCGATTGTTCTGCGTTTCGAAAAACAACTTAATGTTATTAATGAATTCAGAAAAATTCAAGACATGTTCCAAAAAATATAATATTAATTTGCATACGCTATATATAGTTTTATTAAATTTATTTTTATTTTGTTCATGAGGTAGGTAGGTACTTACCTAAATATGTAATAAAAAAAACAGGAGCTCAAGGCCTCAAGTGCCATACACCCAATTTTATCTATGGGGAGGGGAACAGGGTCAATGAAATTATCAAATAATATTTTTAAAAAAGATCACACATTATCGTAAAACAAATATTATTTTCTTTGATCAAAATCTAAAAGATTCAAGAGGATCTATCTCCCATATTTCCCGTGGTTGGACCCCTTTCGGGGGCGCTAAATATCTTAATTCGGCACTGAACATAAACTATATTATAATATAGCCATATAGGGTACATCAATTAAAATAGTAAATAATTACTAGGCAAGTTGAATAGTCATTTGTATCCCTATAATATATAGGTAATCACTGTATAATAATATAGTCAGTGCAT